TAGTAGTAGTAGTAGTAGTAGTAGTAGTAGTAGTAGTAGTAGTAGTAGTAGTAGTAGTAGTAGTAGTAGTAGTAGTATTAGTAGTAGTAGTAGTAGTAGTAGTAGTATTAGTAGTAGTAGTAAACGATTCATTTATGGCGTTGTCGTGACGTTGGACAAATTTGATCACCCCACCCGTAATTTCCAACCTTCTCCCAAAAATCATGAATAATAGATTATCATCTTCTCATGTTCTGTTTGGAATATTAATAGCATTATCAACTCCAATATTAATCAACTTTGTTAGGAATTTCAACTTTGTTAGGAATTACAACTATATTCTATCAAATTTTCGATTACTATATCATCCTGCCCAGTATCATGGTGACTATATTTCTTCCGACTACTTCGAGGGCTGGTACTTCAAACTAGTTAGTGAGGACAAGAAAGTTTCGCTGGCTGTCATTCCAGGAATATACAAAGGAAGCAAGAGTACTCGCAAAACAACTGGCGGAAAAAGTGAAATTCACGCCATCAGCAAAAGAAATGCTGATAACCATGACGAATATTCTCTCGCTGAGTCTCATGCATTCGTTTTGGTGATAAATAAAGACCGCGAATGTCTTTATTATCGTTATTACGCTGATGAGTTCAAGGCCGTGAACACATACGAGACGGGTGCTTTCCAAGTAACGATCGGACATAACCACTTTCGACACGATGAAATGGTTCTGTCGCTTCCATCTTCTCACCTGTTGCAGCCAACCGATTCAGAATACGAAACTTTTCTATCATCAGTGATGGCGGATTATCATCGTCTTCTTCCGGAAGAGAATAATACAAAGAGGCTCGAGGTTGTGCGTCATCCACATGTTCCATACTCGATACGCGGGGTGATTGCATTTGAGAATGTGACACCATTAAAGCCTACCATGACTATTCCGTCGGTGATGGGTATATTTCAATATGTTCCATGGCTGGAATGTTTTCATCAAATTGTTAGTCTTGATCACATTGTGCATGGAGAGATAACTTTCATTAACGACAAGTTTGTTGAGACGAATGTCGATTTCGAGAACGGGAGAGGGTACATTGAAAAGGACTGGGGAATCAATTTTCCGAAAACGTGGATTTGGGCTCAATCTAACAGTTTCGCAAAGGAAGCTGGTAATTCCATACAGGTAAGCAAGTCGGAAGGAGCTAGATGGTAATTGCTGTATGAAAATTGGTGACGAATTACGACATTAATGCTATATACAAGTAACCTTGTAATGAGGACGCCTTATGCTTAGTGCTTTATAGTTTGTTGTCATATTGCTATGCTATAACATTCGTTTCGGCAAACTCACTTACCAACAGATTTATTCTCTTTCTTTCCATTCAGATATCGATCGCCGAAGTGCCGATTGTGCAGTCACTCTATCATATAGCGGGGGCTTTGATCGTGGTCCATCATTCTAGTACTAATGTCACATACAACTTTAGTACATACAAGCTACCTCGTCCTCATTCGCTTAAAGTTACACTTGATCCGACCACTCATATTCAAAACGTTTATCTGCATGTGTCTGACAGAGACAACAACCATCTAGAAGTCAACGTATGGCGAAAAGCGGGCACCGGAATTCCATTACGTGCTCCCAATAAAGAGCACAGGAAGATGGTATTGACCGTTGAAGAGAATTTGGATGCAGAGATGACAGTCAAGATGTGGAATGGAAATGAAGGTGGAGACGTCAAGGTTATTATGGATGATACGGCTGTATCGGCTGGACTGGAGATTGTAGGAGATGTCACGAAATTAGGGAAAGAATATGCCGGATGAACAAGGGTATTGTTACAGATCGGAGATTGTATAATTTTAAATAGAAACTCGATATCAGTATGTCTTGTTTATTTAATCGATGATATGTAAGATTTCTCACTCGATGCCTCAGTAATCGCAAAAATGGACTTTTTTACCAAAGTTCATGAATTACTAAGTATCAGTGTAAGTTTAATCGAATCACCAGCAAGAACAAATTATAGTCACGATTCATGGCAGTGTCTAGATGTCCGACATGCGATGCGTTTCTCGACATGTTAGTACTTAGTCCAAATTGTAAGTTCGAATCGAACTTTTGTGACATGATTGACATTAGAAGACGTACTCGGAGGGGTACAGGTAACGCGAAAGTAGGTACCAAATTAGATAAAGTATATAGCATTGATGTGACCGGCAAGTAAAAGCTATCAATGAACCGGTACGCGACAAATAAACAGCATACGTGCTATGAAGACTTTGGATATATCTCAAATCAATGATCATGTTCAAGCCAGAGCAGAACTCGAAAAGGTGGGCTTGGTTCTATATTGCAAGGCTCAAGCGATTTGTCTTGGTGAGACATTCTCTATGAAGAAATTGTTATGTATAAGTATACATCGAATAATAAAATTCAATCGTTGCTCCAATTTGTTGTGGGTTGGGCAGGGGGTCTAAGCATTTGGTGTTACATCTGGCTCGAAGGCGCGTGACCCAATGGAAAGTAACTAAATTATTGTTTAATACGCTGACAAAATATCTCTGTTAAAAACCTCGCATACCTCGCATACCTGAGAAGCAACTGAATTTTTGATCCAATGATGTGGGTTAACCAATTCGAGTGGATTTGTTTTTGAGAAGATGACTATCCTTAGCTTGTTAACAGTTTGCCACACTGCACTGGATTAACCTGCGTGTGTGCATTTCATTATATGATAAACGTGATTATAAAAGTTTTCTTTTCCTCGACTTTCCCCATGAAAAGTTCGCATTCATAATGAATATGGAAATGGCGACATCGAGATGGAATTAGTACATTTCACCATTCAGTAATTGCACTAGTTTCATGCTTTATCACACGACATTAAATAAAATATTTTTGTTCTGCGTTGCAAATATATCCGAACTTTTACTTAGCTTAGAATTGCTCGTAATAAGGATCATAATGACTCGCAAAAATTTCAGTTATGTCATATCTCTTTCTGTAAAACAATTCTCAACAAGTTGAGTTTTAACTTGCGTGGAATTCACGATTGATACTTTCAGCCAATCATTACCTAGAAAGTGCTAGCGCCAGAATAACGTTATCCATATGGTTAAGAGGTTCTCGGGCGAAGCTTAAGGAGTATTTTTGACATATTGCGCTGTATAATTAGCCCAACCGCTAGCCGCCAATTTATGTAATCACATCATCAATCGTGTAGTTGTGTCAACAAATCAGTTACGCCATATTTCTCTTTGAGGTTTAGGCAAGAATTTAATAACAAAGTCAGCACAAATTGGTTTTACCAAAAATTGTCTAGTCTCTACAGCTGTATAAGTTAATTCATGACGTAATTAAAACCATGACATGTTGAGGAAGTAATTACTTGAACGTTCAACACATTTTAAAGTTCATACTTTTGAGTACAAGACGTAAATACTAGTCATAAAATAGAGTTTGTTTCAAATGCTATTATTAATGCTTTGTATGTTGAAGTCTTTGTCAGCTCTAGCACAGTAAGTATCCTGATAAACAATTACGGGAAAACGTTATTCCATCAATTATGCAAGTTACCCCCCCCTTCTATTCAATACCTTCAATGCCGGCAGACGAAATTTGGTTAACAGCCATTGTGGGACAAACTCGTTTCAACATCCCATCATTAGGAAAAAGGCGAATTCCTTTATATATCATTGACCATATACGTAGAAACAAGACAATTCCTCAAACGCTCAAAAGTAGCAAATGACGAGCAGATTAGCCGAATGAAGTGAACTTGTTCCCACTGTTGATGATGACAGTGGAATTATTTCACAGTGACACACACGCAACTCACAGTGGCACAATCCCCCTTCATATTAAAATATCTGAAGGCATCCCCTGCGTAGTTGCAAGCGAGTAATGCATGTGATGTAAGCACAACTCAAAACACACATGACCCCTTAGTTTTGATCCAGGTCTAACGCTCTATTTTGAGACGTATTTATTTATTTATGATAGGAAAGCCCCGCCTTTCTATTTTTACTTACGCAGAGACATTTTTACTTAATTTTGAAACATTAGGAATACTATTGTGTATTATTAATAACATTATTATTACTGTTTTCTATATTTACATTTTTTTTAAGAAAAAATTCTCTGTAGCGTAATAACCAATTTGTGTTGCTAAGAATCCCATTCCCAGACTTGTCTGATCCACTTTTTCATATTGACTTTTCTTGTTTTAGACCACCGTATAAACGGATGTTCAATTAATTTACTTGGAGTCGGTCGATGTATTGGATCTTTAATCAAACTATCAAAAAAAAAAACAGGAAAAAGAACCACGATCAGTAAAAAAAGTTTACTTTCGACGACACAGTTTGCTATTTCAAAAAGGGCGTGTCTAATCAATATTCCGTGCTAAACTTACCAAGTTTTAGTAAAGCATCTCAAATCGTCACTCCAAGAGTTTGAATTACCCAACTTTGGTGGTTGGTCTCTAACTATTTTCATGAGCAGCCCGAGCAGCGAAACGCTATCCATAGTATTGAACGGATATTTGTTATCTGCCAACTCTACTATAATGATTCCAAGCGACCAGACTAAATTGGTAATAGTATACGGCTCGCCTTTGATCCGTTCGGGCTAAAAAAAGAAAAACCATTATTGGGCCGAGTTAGAAACTGTCAGATACGGAAACATGAATAACATGAAGAAAGTTATTTATATCAGAATAGGGTTGCCTTACCGATGCGTAAACTGGTTTTGGTGCAGACACTTGACTCATGATGCACGAGTCGGTATAAAACGAACCGTATTCATTGAGTTTAATTTCGCCTTCACGAGTTACAAATATATTACGAGGCTGTAGTTCTATTGAGAAATAGTAAAGACGTACTGCTTAGTAAACTTCATAACCAAAAATAGTAATGATGACATATGAAAGACAACAGGCGACGCCTTACCTGCTACGGCTATGCATTTACTCTCAAGAAAGGCTAGTCCGTTTAATACCTGCAAATTATACAATTGAAAGTTAATAGACTGTTTCCATACGATCATGCAAGTCTTTCTTCTCAACCCTTTATCTTTTCTTCTTTGATTCCCATTTTCACCCATCAAATACCATCACCACCATCCACTACCCGTCCCAAACTTACCCCTTCACATATTTTACCCAAGACAACCTCTCCGACAATTCCATTTCTTTTTACAACAGTTTTTGCTATCGATTCCAAATTTCCACCTTCGCAGAATTCAGAGAGCACATAAACAGAACCTGCATCAGTGGACGTTCCATATACACGGACGAGGTTTGGATGTATAAGCGTTCGAAGTATTGCCACCTCGCTTGCTATGGAAGCGTACTGGCGAGGCAGTAAACGAGGATCTGTATCGAATGCCTTTTCGTAGGTAGACGAATTGAGAGGGAGAACAAATCCGAGTTAGTTTAAAGACCCGGTGGAACCAAAAAGTTTTGTTCGATCACACAAAGTAAAACTCACCTTGCGAATGACACGGAGTCCTGATGGCATACATAACATGACGTCCAAGTCAAATGATAATCTCTCCACAGACTGTAAATATTCCATTTGTTCAAACTGTTTGTTTTTGACTTCCTTTGCTCGAACTGATTTTTCGACATTCAAACGAACATGTACTGATTTGTTCCTGTGTAGGGAAAGACGAAATCGGTCTTGCGTATGCTGAAGCGTTTGAGCCATTTGACTAGTATGAGATGGTGTTATAGGTATTATATCGTTATCGGTACACGGACATTGATTCTAATATACGTAATTTTTTGTAATGAGATATATACAAGATGAACCGTTTATCTGTTCTTGCGCGGAGATTATTTTTTTCATAGCGTCTATGAGGTATATATGGGTTTTGCTTTATAATAAGTTTTTTATATTGGACACACATTCGCCTCAGCCCTCCATTGAATTTACCCCTCAATTGCGCTATTCAC